AGTGTTTTTAATTAAATGTTATTTTTTATAAATATTCACAGTGACTTAACAAAAATAGCCGATAATTTTAAATTATTAACTTATTATTTAATTATAAGTTAAATATTGTTATATTAATGGAAGGTTTTAATGACAATGAATATCGGGTCCAACACTACACTCAATTCACTTAACACTTCAAAACAAAAATTTGAGCAAGGTGCTCATCTAGATAACCAAGCTCTATTTTATTAATAAAACTTTATTAATTGAAATGAACTTTTTATATAAAAAAAATTGCTTTTTATTTGAATAAAACATAAAATAGTTTTAATAAAAATTACATTAAATTAAGTGCAAAACATATATAGACTTTTTAAAACTTATTGAAAACTTTTTTCACTTCAAAAGTTTTTCCCTCAAACTCTTTACCTTGAGTCTACATTGAATATAACATTCAATCAAACATTCCATTGAATATAAAATATTATATTTCTTATAAACAAAATAATATTCATATTAATGTGTAATAAGGGCTTAAAAACTAAGTGTAAAGAAAACATATAACTTATTATTTGTTATTCTCTAACATTTTATATAATGTTAAATGAATTAAAAAGTATTTAAAATGAAATAAAATAATAAAAAATAATTATTAATTAAAAGTAATAATTGATTTCAAGAATAATGTGTACAATATTATCTTAATTCCCAAGGTGAAATATGGGATTAAACTATGTTTCTCATAATTTAACCGGGGTGGCACAGTTAGCTAACAATATAGTAAGTGAAAGTGTATAGTATTCTTGCATCAATGGTAGTATTCTTAAAAAACAAAACAGCTAAATTCCAGAAAGTGAAACTGATTATCTAGCACACAAATCAGCGCAAAAATTTGCACTCATCTACATTTAATCCCTTTATGTACATACTAGGTGTAATCCCTTTCCAAATTTGATAAACATCATGTGATTAAAGAAAATCCTAATGCAAATGTGATTATCCAAAAATTTGTTTTACACTGTGTATACAATTATCTATTTTTGAATTATTTCTCATTGCGCTGATTTGTGTGCTAGCTGATTATTAACAAGTATTCAAAGAGTATACGGTAAATGATGAAGATATCAGATAAAATTTATTGCTTCGTAAGCCTCATCTCATAGCGTTCCGTTAGCAGTGCGATCGCTTGTTTATAGTTATTGGCTGGTTTCCAATAATCACTATTTCTGGCAACCACACAGCGGCACATTGGACATTCTTTCTGACTTCGCAACCACTTCGCGATATGCATTTTGTCGAAAATGCACCCACAAGATAATATTACCGGATCAACCATTAAAGAATGGCTAAAATATAACAGTAAAATAATAGTAAAGTTTTCTATAATTAGGACATTCTCAAAAATTTAAACCGGTAACAGATTCTCATTTTGAGGACTGTCAATTTGCATTTTAATTTTGATTATTAAGTAAAAGAAAAACGTATTGAATTATTACCTTATTGGACATTGAAGATTTTTGATGTGCTCATCAGTCATTTTCGTTGCAAGTTCGTTGATAATTTCGTTTTCGTCGATTAAACCTATCCATATGAATTCACCCTGTCGATATCCAATGGCTTCTTTGATATAATCCTTGTTTGTAGCCAAATTCAGCTTCGAAACCTTAATAAAAATCAATTCTGTACTTGCTATTGAAAGCGTAGGAATTTGATTAATTACGTCTCCCAAACGGAAGGCCAAGTAGTACAATATGTTTAATATTAACGTAACAACAAACACTACCGCCACCCCAAACCAGCCGGAGCCGACAAAGATACTCAACACTGCGCTGCATACCGTAGATACGACATATTGAATGGTCGGCCGCCAATCGAATTGACCTTTATCATCGAAAAATGGAAGAGTCGATTTCAGTGTAACGCCTTCTTTTTTAAAACCAAAATAATGCGCAATGTTTGCAGCAACCCAATAAACTAGACGAAAGACTAAGTTCGCCAGCGCAGCGATACCAATTGCGCCCACTGCGTCAGCTGTCCACAACCACCCTGTTGAAATCGTTTTCACTGCATTGTATGACTTAAAGTATTCTTCTAGCACTTCAATCAGAGAACCTAAAAGCATTGTAATTTGATCGAGATTACTGTTGTTATCTTTACTATATTTTATTTTATTACGTAGAGTCCATTTAAAAAACAAATAGTAATACCCTATATGTTTACTGCTTCAGATGCACATAGGGGGATCTAGTTAGGGTGTAGCCCCCTTCTAGAGTTTCCAAAAACTGGACCTCCCAAGTTTCCAGAACCTAAACCCGACCCATAGTACCTTCAGATTGGTCTAGAAGGGGTATTTAGGTCAACACATTGTTCCTTATAGTTTTTATTTTAAGTTTTGTGATCCCAATTGTAAAGTTTATTGGATTATTGGGCTTTACTGTATAGAAAGTTGGGCTTCACTGCATGTCGGGGGACCCCCCTAGGCAGGTCCCCCTTGTGCACCTCTATTTCTGCTTACATACAGACATTGCTTTTACCTTGAAGAGAGTTCAGACCCACATCCATTGGCGTAGTCACGATAGTAGCAAGTCCTGATACAACAATATCCGACATGTATCTTTCCAAAGTGCATTTCCATCCATCGAGTTTTATGCTTTCGTTAAATTGCTGTATCAATTGAGGATTAGTAAACAGAGCCAATAACTTCGCTAGCAGTCCCTTTTTCCAGTCAGACATTAAAGGACAGGCATCTAACGATTTAGGAGTCGTCTTTTCAATTGGCGAAGGCTGGTACACGCTTGGTAGTTCACGAAGAGTGTCCCCGTCTGTGCAAATCTCATTGTCTTGTAAAATTAGTTCCACAATCCTAAATACAAATCTTTATCTATAATGTTCATCCAATAATTTTGCCAAGATAAGCAGTTACCTATTCAAATCATCTTCAGAAAGGTGACTGGACGCCATTTTCAACAAATACAGTTAATACTTTATTCCCAATCGATTTATTTAATTATTGCGAGTTTTGTGAATTTTAAGTTTTATAGAGTTTTACTACTCTTAAACTTATCGTGATTAACTTGACACAATTTGACTCTAAAATAAAATGAAATAGGATCACTATAAAAAAATCGCAAACGAATGAGAAGAAAACTTATGATAACTCAATTATATTGAGAGTATGTTTATAGGAATATTATGAATAATAAGTGCAGTGAGACACAGCGAAAAGCAATGGTAATATCTCAAAATATTGCATTGCATTGCACTGCAGTAACGATGGATACAGGCACACGAACGTATATGTTCGCTTACAACCAAGCAAATATCCGCAAGCATGGTGGTTTACATAATGTTGAAAATCAA